CATAAGAGTGGTAAAGTCACCATATTTTTACGGCGGAAAATGTGGTGACTTTAGGCGTAACGGTGGCGCCTTTCACACGAAAATAGGTAACACAACAAATTGTAATAGTTAGACTTATTGAGAGAGCTCAACCGCACGCGGTGGTGTAGTGGTAGAACATGGCCATAGCAGGCGGAGCCAAAAAAGTTTATACGCACACTTATATCAAAAGGGTCACCAAATAGTGACCTAAAGGCAGCGTCCAGGCAAATCTGGACCTATGGGGCTCTCACGTGGAAAGTAATCTTGAGGCCCTAAATAAGACTCTGCCCAAGCGGCAGCTCAGATAGTGCACTCACGGCTAAAATATTGGGCTTTAAACTATGCCCCATGATCGTATTCGCACGGATTCGTGGCTCGGCACATCAGTTTCGCATGGGTCCTCGCGCGAAAGTGCCACGAGTCCATGCGAATACGCTCACGGGGTAGTTTGGCCTGAGTGCACTATCTGAGATGCCGCTTGGGCAGAGCCCTATTTAGGGCCTCAAGATTACTTTCCACGTGAGAGCCCTATAGATCCAGATTTGCCTGGACGCTGTAACGGTGCTTGCACCAAAAACAACCCAACAAGCGATATGGATCAAAAGGGTGCCGCTAATATCGGCATACTCCGGGGGCGACAAACAATAAATTTGCAAAAAATAAGGCTACAACGATGAAAGTAAATATAGAAAATCAAACATGAATAGAATAGGGGAAATTTACAAGAGAAAGGTGATTCCTTGTCCTTCGTTGATCCAATCCTTGTTGTCGAGGTCCGGTTGAGAAGAGAATAGTTGGGTGGCTGGTGGAAGACATTTAGGGACGATGACGCGTGAACTCAATTGTTTGATCATGACCAACTTCAAGAGATATTGCACCTGCTTAAGACCAAAACGAGGATAACTATCGGCCCAAATAGGTGAGGCCTGCTGCTGCAAGTGCAGCACAGTCAAAAGAAGAGAAAAACGCAAAATAAAGAAAGTTGGACGAGTGGCGTAGTCGTATGAGGCGCCGCTATGACCAGATCGGACACAGGTTCGATCCCCGTCCCTGGGCCAACCAAGCCCTCTACCCTCCGGGGCTGGTAAATTGGTACCAGAGTAATCTGGGAGGATAAAAGCACTGACTTGGAAACGGCTGGCCCCCGCAAGTCACTGTAATAGGCTCGCACGCATACAATTGCCTCTTCGACTATGAAGTTAGTTTGTGCGTTCGGCGCATGCCCCCGAAGGGTACTGAAGACGCCGAATCCTTTATCCTTTATTTATTAAAGAAAGTTAAAATAAAGTGAGGAAACAGTGCAGGCAGAAGAACTGCCAAATCTGGTATGCAACGCATTTTGACTTTCAATTCTGCGAATTAAAAAAGAAAGTCGTTGAAAAATGATGGCATTTCTCGCGACAGCAATGATAGACTACTTTCACCTAGAAATTCGCAGAAGCTTGATTTTATCCTGAATTTACATATTGAACGAGGGCAAATGAAGCGTTTAGTCAAGCGTGACGTGCGAAGTCCGAATGTACTGATTTATAAACAATTCGTTGAAACCTTATCTGCAACCAGTGCATCACCTCTGCTTCGCAGAGGCTCGCACTGGCCCTACTTTCTGTATGCCTTACTCATTCCCGCATAATAATGACATTGAAACTCACCGCGCTATGTAGGCTATCGCGAATGATTCGTAAACAACTACTCATTCCCAGAGGTGCGATAGGGGGAGCCGGACCCTCTCCAGGTGAAGGGGGTCTCTGCTACTCCCATCCTTGTAAGGTGAAGGGGGTAAGTGAGCCCTGAGAGCAAAATGCCCCAACAAGTTACACACCATTCGAAAACTGAGGTCATATAGAATCGACATAGACCGTCGGCTTTTTTCTAGGTCTTTTGTGCCGCAAGATATGAGGGATCTTTTGTACTTCATGTGTCAAATAATTTTGTGTCCTCACTTTCTGCTCTCCAAAAGAATGCTACGAGAAAGTCGACGGTCTACGTCTGCTAATGAAGACTTGCTCTGTAACGCAGATAGATAACCAGCAGATTAGGTCTTCGTTTGGCAGAAATTTGCTGTTGAAAATGAACATGATTTCAGGTAAAATGCAGTGTATCTCTCGGTAAAGGGCGGCTAGAAAGAATTCGACGGTCTATGTCGAGTCCCCTTTTCCTGAGCTTTCGAATGGTATATAGACTGCTGAGCGAAAAAACTTGCCAGTTTTTAAAAATGGTGTGGAGGTATTTACTATTAGCTTGCTCCACCCAACTCCCCCAATGTATTGGCTTTTATCGGTCACCAGAGCAAGTGCTTTTTAGAGCCGGGAAGCAAAAAAGCCCTAACATGCTTCACACCGTTCGAAAGCTGAGATTATGGAGAATCGACGTAGACCGTCTGTTTTTTCATAGCTTCTCTGTAGAGCGAGATACGAGCGATTTTATACGCCTACTCACCAGCTAATTTTGTGTAATTATTTTGTAATTTATTTTTGAAAGAAAGAACAAAGATTAAAAAAAAGAGACAGTCTACGTTTACTGGCAAGGTCTTGCTCTGTGATGCAGTTAGAAAATCAGGCACCTTTATCTATTCTTCACGCAGAAATTTCTCGACAAAAACACACATCTTTTTGGCTAAAATCCCGTGTAACCCTAAGTAGAGGGGAGCTAGAGAAAAAGAGACGGTCTACGTCGAATCCTTTTTTTGTGGGCTTTCTAATGGTATACAGGTAGTCGGGTGAAAAAACTTGTGGTTTCTCAAAAATGAGGTGGAGATATTCAATAGTAACTTGCTCCACCCCGCTCCGGCTTTCTATGGGTTGCCGGAGCAAGACTTTTTTGGACTGGGAAAGCTTTGTGCACCAACACCTTATATACCATTCGATAGCTAAGAACGCGTGGAATCGACGTAGACCGTCTCTTTTTTCGTAGCTTCTCTGTGAAGCGAGATACGAGCAGTTTTATCTAGCTACAATATCAGCCAATTTTGGATAATTATATTTTCCAACCAAGAAGGTCTTTTTCGAACTTTTATATATGAATCGAAAGCATGAAAAACGAGTAATCTGACTGTTGTTTTGTTTGTTATTAATCTCTCTAGTGAAAAGAGATATGGCATGATTTCTTGTCAGTAAACATGCATCCATCGCTAGTCGGTTCAGATTTTTCTACTCTTGCTCAACTCTTTTTTGCAAAGTATGTATTCATTGATACAATGTTAATTATTCAAAAAATCACCTTTTACTTTTTGGTTACGTTTCGTTATCAGCGCCCTTTGAGCGCGCAGAAGGTCTCAAGCATGCGTTTTTTAACGAAACGTTGTTGATTCGATACTCTCTTGCAGTCTTGATGTCTGAGGAGAACAGCAGCTGGCTTTCCTTTCCAAACAAAAGTTCCGTTGTAATAGCTGTTTGCCTTGATTAGTCTCAACCTCAGGTGAAAGGGGTCAGCCAGATGCCGGCCCTAAAGTGAAGGGGGTCAGAGAAATTTCTCCACCTATCGCATCTATGCTCATTCCTAGAGGTTTTTCGTGTAAGATCGGTAGAAACCTCTCCCAGAGGAATGAATGCAAATTTGAATCACTTTTTGGATATTTTATGGCTTGGTAGCCGCAACAAGGACAATGAACATCGTAAGCTACGTCTCTGTGCAAAAATCTTCTCAAATAATCAGGTAAAGTCTTGGCGAATTGAACATGTATACAACTAGTTTTTTTGGCGCTATTTTCGTAAAGTAGCCAACTTTAGTTCAGTTTTCTGGGCTAAAGGCCATGGCCTCCACATTAGTTTGCCAAACATATCCATAACTTTGCAGAAGGTTTCATACAGACCCAATTATGCTGGCGAGAAGAAGTGCGGATCCGCCTGACGCGCAAGTTTTAAAGGATCCGCTCAACGGATTCGCCTGTACTTTTGCACAATGGACCTGCATGCTGCTAGCATATGCTGTGCCGAATTCGGGCTCAAGAAACTGGTTGAACTCGAACACACACACACACACACACACACACACACACACACACACACACACACACACACACACACACACACACACAAAAAGACGTAAACAACCCTTAACCCGTTATTATAAGTCATGATTATTAGTACTCGCCATCATTAGAAACTTTGAGCGGAACTTCACGTAAAAACCGTCCTTCTAGGTCTTACCGTCCCAAATAAAACATTTTTTCTGCTTCAGAATGCGATCACTCGTCATAAGCACTCTATATTCATTCATACTATCTGCAAAGATCTCACCCCCCCCCCTCCCCCCCCCCCCCCCCAAAAAATTATCGAGCAAAGCTTCCTATTGCTTTTTTTGCGATTACCCTTTACAGTGTTCTGAACACTACATCTAACAAATGCGCAGAATGTGAACCTCATCACATGCAACATCAGAACGGGGAAGAATCCGTCTATCCATTTTTCTTAGATCAAACCAGTATTGCCTTTACTTGGTATTTTATTGTGTCCTTCCAAGCAACGCAATCCAAGGTTGTTTTTTGCCTCGCATAATGGAAATGAAGCTGCAGTCGTACTTTGAAGACTATTTTGAAGGTCATTTCATAGCTTCCGTTTCAAAGGAACTTCACGGTCAAAGATAACATACTTTACACATTTTCATTAGATATAGAAATAGGATAGGATCTTTCTGTCTAGTTGGAGAAGGGCGGATGATGGGATAAGTGGGACGGAAGGATGGGGTTAATCAGACAGAGCTTATAACAGTTCTACAGATAACAGTTTTACAGTAAATTCTCATGTCTATAGGGTACTTAATTTTTGCCATACGCATTATGATTATTGTTACTTGTTTAAGTTTTGAAAATAAAGCCGGTAATGATACAGTAGATACTCTCATAAGGCAGTTAGCGTTTACACCACTGCGTAATCACGAGCTCTCTCGACTGAAATTACATGATTAAAGACTTTATTTGCAAAGCTGGAGCATCGAGACAGAGCCCACAATGCACTCAAACTGCTAATACAAATGGCGACCTAAACCTGGACAGGAAAAGGAGCGAATCCGCCACCAATGTTTCCATTCCTCAAGGTCTTAATTCTGCTACGAGTTCCGCCAATGTTGAATCCATCTGCACCATCAAAACCGTTTGTTTTTTCACCAGGATAACGTGCTTCGAGATTGATAGTCCCTGAACAAAGGCTACAATCCCGCACATAAATCCGCCATCAGATAAGTCCGCCCTCAGGGTAAGTCCGCCTGCAGATAAGTCCGCTTTTTTGACAAGGAAAATCGATGAAAATGCACTCTCGCGCCGCCAAGGACCTATAGATAGGTCCGCTTCATTTCTTAGATGAAAAACAGAAGGGTGTGCAATTGCGCTGCTTTTTTGGTCTCAAATGAATCAAGCAACAGAATTGGATTGAGAAAGCAACAGCAAGAATGAGAAAGCAACAGAAGAAAGCAATAGAAGCAAGAATTGGGAAGAAGAACAAGGAATCCTATTGCTTTGCTAGGGTTGAGCGTTTTTAGACTATCACTCTTGTGTATAAGAAGGCATTTGACAAAAACCATAGTGAAAAAGGAAAGCATTTGACAAAAGCCACATAGCGTGACTCAGGAGACTACTTTCAGACCATGTAAACAATAGAGGAAGCAAAAAGTATAGGCAGTCAGGTTCAAGGGTTGTAGCCTGTACAGGTTCAAGCTGATAATGGAACGGAGATTTCAAACGAAATTGAAATGCAAAGTTCAGTGTCAAAATTTCGCCAAACAAAGTGAAAACTTGGATTTAGGGGTTTTCAAGTACGCTCTTTTCAAATATGGAAATCCCATCTGCTTCAAAGCTCACCACGGACCGCTTACTAAGAATGAAACAGGGAATTTCATACAAATTGCATTTGAAAATTCAGTATTGAAGTTTCACCAAACAAAGTGAAAACTTGGACTTAGGGGTTTTCAAGTACGCTCTTTCCAAATATGTAGAGAATTTTTTCATAAGAACATGTACAAGGTTTGTAAAAAAATTCAATAAAAAAAACACAAACAGATTTTTTCAATGCAGTGCATTGTGAACGGAGTTTAATTGGGTCAAACAGCCTCAGGCAAGTCCATAGGATGTAACGGTAGATTACTGCGTTCAATTCTTTCATCGATTAGTCTGTGTTCATATATTTCATATAATTATTTTATCTCTATATATCTATATATTCATATATGGCTCAGCAAATGTACTTAGATGGTCTTCTCCGATACGAATTTTGACATCTTGCTGCAATAATTTCCTATACTTCTGTTTCTAAAAATTCACTGGAAAGATATAATTGTTTAAACTCATCCATCGCCTGATCGATCTTGTGGCGTCGCTCCTGGTCCTTTTCGCGAAGATTTCTGCATGCATTAGCATTCTGAGAAAATCGTATATTCAGTGAATGTACTCAAGAAACAATTTTTGTCAAATATCTTACCTCTCTCACATTGTAGAGAGTTCCAAATGCCATAGAATTAATGCCATGCAGGCATTCCAGAAGCTCTTCAAATGGAGGGTTGACCCTCCTCGAAAGCATTCCTCGTAACTTAGTAAAATAAATTATAGTATGAAATGTTTAAAAATGTTGAATTTTTACCTATGAAATGCCTCTGCCGTTGTTCGATAATCCCGCATGTACCATTTACACCACATAATTTTGAAAGTGCCACTTAAATAAAAATTATTCAAATAACTTAGGAAATCTTTACATGGCCCATGCGCTATGTGCGTCTCACCTAGCGGCGGGGATATAAGAGCTGTTACCCTGGTGAAAAGTTCCTCAGGCAGAAATATTATCCCTTTCAAAATTTCCCACCATTTTTTCACTGCTAGAATTGCTTTGGGCCCCCTCACAAATTTTCTTAAACCCAGGTTCACAAACATCCTATTCCACGCTTGCGCCAGATGGAAGGCGCATCCTTGTACATCGGCTTCTGGAAACGTCTCCCTGGCTGCTCGAGTTGCTGCCTACAAATCTGCGTTATAAACTAGCTCGAGAATATAAGAGAGCACCTTCTCGAAGTCCAAAATGACTCTGTCATTGTAGTCTCCCAGTGTCTCACGGAGTTTTTCGAAGATCCTCTTGTACGTTTCCACATTTTTGTATCTTGTTACGGCGTAGAGGATTGGGACCTGAAATATTTGCTTCGTAAAAAAAAATTCAAAAGCTGAAACTCTATAAAACCGTGGTCACCTCTATGCCGCCTTGAATAGCTGCGTGAAGAACATATAATTGTCCTTTATCCATCCGATTCGGAATTGTGACAGGATTCAGATTATGAGCGCCATCTCCAATAAGTGCGTACCAGTGGCGGTCCCAGGATTTCGGACCGGGTGGGGGGGCGCGGAAAAAAAATTTTCAAATGAAGGTGCGTGGCGTCAGCCACGCACTCCGAAAAAATTTCAGGGGTACTTCTTAAAATTTTTGCGGGTCCCCAACCCCTAAAATCTGGAAAAAGGGGGCGTGGCGTCAGCCACGCCCCCGAAAAAATTTTTTTATAAGGCTAATTTGAAATTTTAAAAAATTTTAAAAATTATTTTAATTATTTACAAAAATAAACAAGTCGTTTGCACATTTTTATAACCCATATAGGTAAGTTTCAAAAATTTCGCGACCCATTCCCGGGGGGGGGGGGCGCCCCCCCCCCGCCCCCCCTCGGACCGCCACTGGTGCGTACATTCCGTTGTTGCGCGCCATCTATAATCATATTTTATGAAATTTTGGTTTTCAAAGTATATTTGCTTACTTCAACACTATCTGTGCAAAAGTACAAATGCAAATCATCTGTCTGGAGCTGCAGGAAAAGATCTCCTCCAGGAACGTGGCTAAGGTCCTCCGGCACATTGCTTGGATCGACGATCCTCTTTTGAGCATTTGACGCCCTGAAGGCTTTTATTGAATTACTGCGCTAAAAAGCATGAATAAAAAAATTTAGGCACAACATACTTGGAAAATGTCTTTCTTCTTTGTTCGTAGCCTTTCCCGTGGAATTTACCGAGCACTTTCCGTCTGTCTTCGATTGCTGTAATTTCAAATTTGAAAATAGTTCGAAATTCTTCAAATCTTACTTTTCCAAGTTTCTAGAATAGATTGCCCAGCATCCGTATAGTGTCGGTAAGGTGTCGTTTTATAGGCCTGTTCATCTTTTCGTAGCTTTGACAAGCTTAAAAAAAGTAATTTGCTTCAAAATAATTTTAATCTTTTTTAAAATTTTTTGGACGAGTAAAATCACCTCATAACCTGCTCGATTGGCTTCAACGTAGCGGTCTAGAGGCAAACAATTGTGTAGAAGCATGCATGGATCCTCGTTGAATACATCATCTTTCACCTAAATTTGTTTGATTTGATATCTACATGAATTTTGCTAAAAGTCTATTACCTGAACGGATGTGTAAGCGCCATTTTGTTGCTTGCAACCAGAACAACGATAAATGATGTATCCCTGTCGTTCTGCTTTTTTTTGATGTTGAAAAATATAACATAATTGAGACTCCGGTATCTCGTAAACGATAACAAAATTGGAGCCTCTTTTACTTACCTGCTTTTCCCCACGATAAACTGGCGGAGAATACGGAACTTCCGGGCTTTCACTGGCGTTTTGAATCATCACATGTGATGGCTAAACTCATTTTCCGATCAAACTTATGGTTCATCATTATTTAATCTCACTTCAGGAGCCTGTGATAGCTCCACGTGAATGTTCGCGCTGTTTCCAGAGTAATACCGCTCATTTGTAGCAGTGTGGGATGACGTATACAAAGGCTGGAATTTCAGTTGAGATTGTATTTATGAAATAAGGAGTTTAATCGATAATTTTTACCTGGGATTCCGATGGCAATGATAGGCTGGAATCCACACCTAGATAGAATTGCTGCATAGATTGCAGCATTTGTAAGTTGAAAAAGCTATCATACGACATGATAAGATTATCTGCACGATAAGTGACTTGATTGTCAAGTCCTTCTGCTATTTATACGAAAACTGTCGCCTGAATCCGCCTTTTCAGCCTTTCTTTGGCATAAAATCGCCTAATCCTTTTTTAACTTTGTTTTGCCATGAGTAACTGCTCATTGCTACAGGCAGTAAGATCGGATTCCTGTTCACACCTCAAACTATTGTCCATGGCTGGACGAACTGTGGTCATGGTGTCTCTATGTCTTTGTTCCATTCATTATCACTTACCTGAGTGTAATTTTGTTTTCATAGAATTTGCCACTGTAAAAATTTTGATACTCGGAACGGTGAAGCATAATCAAAATAATTCCACTAATGAATACGATGAAATTCTCTGATATCTACGATACGTTTTCTTGAATTGGTTGAAATTTGATACAAAAAAGTTGAATTTTTTTAACAAACCTTGCACATGTTCTTATGAAAAAAAAATTCTCTACATATTTGGAAAGAGCGTACTTGAAAACCCCTAAGTCCAAGTTTTCTTTTTGTTTGGTGAAACTTCAATACTGAATTTTCAAATGCAATTTGTATGAAATTCCCTGTTTCATTCTTAGTAAGCGGTCCGTGGTGAGCTTTGAAGCAGATGGGATTTCCATAATTGAAAAGAGCGTACTTGAAAACCCCTAAATCCAAGTTTTCACTTTGTTTGGCGAAATTTCGATACTGAACTTTACATTTCAATTTCGTTTGAAATCTCCGTTTCATTATCACGGGGCGCGTCCTGGTGGACCTCTGCTAGGTTGCGAAAGGTATCTGGATAGAGGCGGGGCCTAGCATGCGCTCCGCAAATGTGTTAATTATCGTTATTGACAACTCATGGCCTCCGAAATTACATCTCAGTCGGCTGTCAGGGGACCTAAGTTCCGTTCCCCGCCTACCTATGGTAGTTGCGAGACATTAAGGTAATGGCCGCGATATCTATGACCCAGAATTGGCCCACATCACGAACTTCATCATTAACCTGCCTATATAAACAAAGCAGGAGCAGATGCAGTGATAACTAGCATTCATACAAACGACAATGACATTTATCCTGCTTTCCGCTTTTGTTCTGCCTTTGGCGCTAGCACGATTCCCACGAGCCGGATGTAAGTATGCTCTCCTCCTAAACCTCTATTGAAATAATGCCCTTAGCTCAATCCAGCAATAAATAGCACTCAATGTTTTTTTAGTGGGAGGTGTTGGCAGATTCCCGGGAAGTGGTGGATTTATCGGTGAGCGAAGTCACTATGTGAGAGGACGCCTCGTCTGCGGCATTCAAAGAGCACAAGGAGCTAGATCTTTGTGGGGAAATAGATGTTTGTACCTTCGAATCATCACACACATAAACCCTACCCCTTTCGCAGGAACGCTACCCACACTTACTACTGAATGTTGCTCAGATTTGTCACAAATTTAGGGCCAGCGACAGATGAGCACCGAATTGCCAGAAACATACTTTAATCAAGGCATAGTACCCATCAAGACTTACGACTTGGGGAAGACCCAGCATGGGCTGTGGTCTCGCTGGTCGAGCTACGGCAGACTCTCTATGTGGCTGATCAGTTTTTAGAATGAAAATTTTGTTTCTCCCCACAATTTCCATGAAAAACGGTGAAAATCCCGATCTCAACAGAATTTAAGCCACAGAAAATGCCTTTGCTCTCGGAGGTAAGTGCATTTCCAAAGATACCTAAGATTATTTTGGGGAATTCTATTTCAGGAACGATCAATCTTGAGGGCAGATTTTTGGGTGAAGAAAACAACGGATTCGGAGAAAACAGCCGAATAGGCCGAGGTGGCAACCACGATTTCGGGGGAAGATTTAGTCCTGGTGGATTTGGCAGTGGTCCAATACACCTCTAGAACGCTTTAAAATTTGTTGTTACTGTAATGCATGTTTATGTTTATTACTAGTACTGAATAAAAATTAACAGCACTCCGCAAAAAAATCACAGTTAAAATGCCTGTAAAACAATCGGACACATGTCTGAAAGTCACACGTGTAGCTAGTAAGAAAATGCAGTAAAAACTGAGTCACAGCTTTATAGAGCTGTAGAGTCGATAAATTTCCAAGGTTTCGCACTAAATCGTGCAGCAATGAGGGATCTGATAACTGAGAGATAGTGTATCATGAGGGAAAAAGAATCTGGGGGAATGCAGCAAGTTTTTATGAAAGCCATAAATCACGTCCAAGAAGAGAGGATTTACAAATGTGAGATGGCTATGGTAGAGAAAAGGAACTCAATATGTTGAAAATGAGACACGTTCTATGAGTGAATGGTCGCAGAGCAGAAGAGTAGAGAAAATCAAGATTTTCTATGCTCTCACATCAAAGGCACATCCACGCAAAATCTGAGGAGAATTCCAGCGAGATTTACATAACACTGTGCGATAAAGACCGACAGTTCAAGAGGGTGTAAATTCTATCAATTCACCCGTAAAAAATAAGAACACTGCGGCTAGATCTCACGACATAGAATGATCGATGATAAATAATGAGCGTCGTCAAAGAAAAACAGAACAAGCCTCGCTTCAATACATGCATATTTAGTTACATACGTTACAAACAACACCTGATCATAGGATTACGGTTATAGACTAAAAGTAGTGAGACACTGCATATAGAGGAGATATCAAGGAGTTGAGTCGTTTGGCTTAGAGGTAGGTCCGCTTTTGAAGTGTTTAAGTGAGTTTGGAGTACATTTCGGCAAGCTCTGAGGCGAAGTGAGCCTTCAACTTTGGTCTTTTACTCTTCAGCGTGGGCGTAAGGAGATCGTTCTCCACAGAAAACATGATAGGAGAAAGGCGAATGTCTTTCACCTGAAAGCACATTATTTTTCAAACAATCTTCCATCGATCCCTTCATGATATATTAATACGAAAAGGAGCATGTGGGCATCAAAACTGCAATGTGTAAAGGATTGCAGTGTCTGCGAAATGGGTTCGAAATGTTTTGTATAGGCTACAATACATTTTCCATGGCACAGCTTTTGACGTCAAAGTGGATCCATACTTTGATTCGTACATTATAGAATACAATTCAAAGAGACGCGGCACAATCAGAGTTAGTGCACAAAAAAAGTTCAAAGTTTGAAAGTCACCCTGCCCCTGCGGTCAAATTAGAATAAATCTTCCGTAGCGGACGCATTAAACAAGAAACGGCACTTTGTATTCAATCATACAATTAATACGCTGCTCATTAGTCCGAATAAGCTTATTTCAAGCAAAAATGAGCGCTCTTCCAGAATGATTACAAATGTAAGCAGCCGTGCAAAACAGGAAGCTTACCTGCTCAAACGAGAACAGTCCACTTTTCTTTCCGACAGCAACCATGTCATCGAGCACCATTTTGATGACGTCCCTGTTCTTACATAACTCTTCCAATGTCCCAGTAAGTTGAAGATGGCTCTTGCAAGCAGGGATGAGCTCCTACAACAGAATCTTGAAGCTGCCATAAACTTGCAGTCAAAAGAGGTATATACCTCGGCATCGGGGACAACTATAGCGATGAGGCAGGTTTTAAGTGATTCTCCATACACAAAGGATTGAGCAACAAACTTCGATCTCACATAGACGTTTTCAATTTTCTCCGGTGCAACGTATTCACCCTGAATTCGGAAGATAAGTCAATCAGTCCATAGGAAATACTCAAACATGCAATGTCTACCTGCGCCAATTTAAAGATATGCTTCTTTCGATCAACAATCTTCAAAGTGCCTTCCTTCAACCACCGGCCTATGTCGCCAGTATGGAGCCATCCATCTTCATCGAGTACTTCTTTGGTCATCTCCTCATTCTTGTAGTAACCGCGGAAAACGATTGGACCTTTGATGCAAACCTAAAAGAACACTATTCTGTTTTGATTTGGAGCAAAGAAAATGAGTAATCCAAAGATGCTATTTGGAAGAGCGTTCGCTTCGGGACCTCCACGCGGTTCCCCGCTATCTGCAGATTTTTGAATTGGCACCAAAGGTGCAATAGTGTGAGAACTTGCTCACCCCCCTTTCACCCCTGAGCCGGTACCAAAATGACTCCCTTCACTAAAAGCCGAGAAAAAAATCAACAGTGAGATAAGGTTAAGCAAAGGAGAAATTTGTACGGGAATTGTTTGTGCAATGGACAGAGGAAGAAATTATAGGTACTCGCGAACTTCCAAGAGGAAAAAAATAGTAGCCTCTGTAGCTGCACAGCAAAGTCAGCGAGGAAAATTTCGTGGTACAACGTTCCCGTCTGTTTTCAGGAAATAAATTGTTTGCATAGAGTCCGTTCATAGAAATACCTAATGAAAAATGTGCTTAGTGATTTCCGGACACTTACGAGTTTTCAAAATAAAAAAAATCATATATTTTGTAGGTGAGTGGCTGGTACAAGAAAATAGTAACCATCGAAACCGCCTCTTCCTCCGTTTTTAGATGAAATATAGTATGTCTAAGATCCGCCCAAAAAACTAACTGGGGGAAGGGTGTGCTCAGTGATTTCTGGAAATTTTTGAGTTTTTAACATAAAAAAATTCATAACTTTTGTAGATGAATATCATTTAGGCCGAGATGGTCACCATTGGAACCATCTCATCCTCCGCTTTCCGGAATTATATACTTGGCCTGGGAATCATTACAAAAAGTGTCGGGTGAAGGGTTGGTGAGACTTTTATAATGGGGGTGCTCAAATAGACGTCGTTTTACAATGGTAAAAAAGCCTCTACTTGAACACTCCCATTATAAAAGTCTCACCCACCCTTCATCCGGCACTTTTTGTAATGAACCCCAGGCAAAGTACCCTCGATATCATCCCATATGTCTTCCCTCAACATGACGTGGATTACGTGGCTTGATGAGGCGCCGCCTCGCCTCTGGCTCGCGGCACGTTGCGAGCGCATCATTTGGCGCGACGTGGCGCTCAACACAACGTGGCGCAGGCTTTTCCACGTTCTTCTTGTTGCCACATCACGCCGAAAATGCGCACGCAGCGTGGCGCAAGCCCGAGGCGAGACGGCGCCTCATCGAGCCACGTAATCCACGTCATGTTGAGGGAAGACATATGGGATGATATCGAGGGTATATATTTTCTGAGAGCGGAGGGCGAGACGGTTCCAATGGTGACCATCTCGGCGTAAAAGAGTTCATCTACAAAAGTTATGAATTTTTTATGTTAAAAACTCGAAAAACCAGAAATCACCAGGACGCCCTTCACCCAGGCACTTTTTCGAAGGGACCCCAGGCAAGGGATATATTCTCTGAAAGCGGAGGACGGGACGGTTCTAATGGTTACCATCTCCATGTACTATCCGTTCATCTTCAGAAGTTACGAATTTTTTTATCCTGAAAACTCGTGAATATACGAATTTTTTTATCCTGAAAACTCGTGAAGATCAAACATCACTAATCACACCCTTCACCAGGCACTTTTTTCAACAGACTTCAGGCAAACTATACGTGGTCTAAAAGCGGAGGACAAGACGGTTTTGAAACCTTTTCCTTGCTGACGTTGCTGTTCAGCTACAGAAATACGAATTTCTTTTTGAAAAAGTCGTAAATGCTGAAAAATTGTCTAACTCTTTCCGAAACAAATGTTCTCGCATGCACGTTTTCTACGGTAATTTCAAAAACAGGCAGGGTGATGTAAAAAAGGGAAAAAGAGTTGTAAAAAGATACAAGGTGCTGGTCAGAAATATAATTGTCTAATCCAGCAGCACATCGGCTCACATTTCAGAAAAAAGACAACCAGTGATGGCAAGGAATTGAAAATTATAAACTGACTGGGAGAGCACCATGGATCCCCCCCCCCGCTCGACATTTTATAATTTCTCTACCAAGTGAAACACCCTTCACCCTGGAAGGGCTGCGACCACTGTAACCCCTTTCACCCTGGAAAGGCTGCGACCACTGTGACCCCCTTCACCCTGGAGGAGTCATTCTCACCTTATCGCACCTATATTGGCACTACGCTTTATATTTTAGAAGCTCATTTAATAAAGATCGATTCCACGCAATAAAATCGCGGTGCTTGATATCAGTGACCGTGAACTGAACATTAGGAAAATGTGAACTGCGAGCTCTACCTCGCCAGCGTCATCCTTGGCAAAATATCCTAGTTCCGGCACGTCTACTAATTTGATGCGTGCAGCAGGAACGACCATTCCAACGTGTCCTGCATTAGCATCACCTTCCATTGAAACCTAGAAGAGAAGCAGGTAAGAAAAATGTACAAAATAAAAAAAAAGTACCAATTAGTTCCTGACTCACCGTAGCAGCAGCAACACATTCCGTTTGGCCGTAACCTTCAACAACTACACATCCCATTGCAGCTCTTACAAAAGTGAGAACGTTTTCCGAAAGAGGTGCAGATCCAGTGACCATAAGTCTTACACGCCCTGGAAGGTAAGCAATGAGAATAAAAACGCTTGTTCACAGTCGAGACATACCTCCCATACTCTCCCTGACCTTCTTGAACACGAGATTGTCGAAGAAACCATCACTGCGAATGATGAAACTAAAACATTACGTAATCGAAAGAGAACTTCCGAGTGTCAAAGCTAAATCCGACTTCCGCATTTCACGAGCTTTGTAAGCAACAGCAACGTGAAGAAGAGCCTTCTTTACATAAGATTTGTTCACTTCGGACATAACCTGAAAGCGAATCTACTATCTGTACAAGTACATGATATCAACAAACCTTGTCGTAAAGCCTATTGAGTACGCGTGGAACGACAGGAACGACTGTTGGTCGGAGTTCTTTGATGTCATCAACAAGAAGTCGAATATCGCCTCTGAGAAAAAACAATTAGAAAAGGTCCAGCAGTGGCAAAGAAACAATAGTCAAAGAACACACCGATAAAAGCCGACACGAGCTCCTTTTGTGAAGCACACAGCCTCGATAACCCGTTCGAGCATATGAGCAAGAGGCAGAAAGCTGATCATGACATCCTTGAAAGAAAATCTGATATTGAAATGGAAATAAAATCCCTCGCGATGAGCAGGATTTTAGCAAGAAACTGCAAAACACCACGAGCGTAACGTTCAATCTTCAAACGACGCAGGTATTAATGGAACTCTTTAATGCACTGGAACTGCAAGCCCTCCTTATAAGGGTAACCATATCCTACATACGATGACATCGAACTCCAGGCACATTTTACATGATATACACTCCTCATTTGCGACAAACTTAATCATTTACCAACCGTGGTGTATTTCCATCCAACACTCTTTTAGGAAACCTAATCCACATCAACAGGTTCCCAACTTTAAAGGAGAAGATAAGATTATCACAGACCATGGCTACTGTGAAAGTGGACAATTTATAGCATAGCATAGTACAGCAGAATAGCAGTGGCATTTCCAAGTAGATGGGAGACAAGTTAATTCTGGTAAGGTTCGAATGTACCTTACCTCGTCGGTACATAGTTCAGAGGACTGTGGGACCTGACCGTTTTGCAAAGCTTGCGACGTAGTATCATCATCAAAAGCCCTCTTAAAGTATCAACAAGTATAGCACTACAATTACTAAATTATGGCATGTGCGTTATTCACTGCGGATGCTAGTTACGCTAGACAGAAAGCGGATGGTTAGTACCCGAACAAGACATAAAACTAGGCTAATTGCTTCCGAGCGGTCAAAAAGCTTTCCTTCTCTTTCAACTCTCTCTCGTATTGTGAGAAGTACATGCTTCGATCCACGTCAAGATTTGAAGCTGGTATGCAGCTTATACACTGAGATTCTATCAGACAGTCGCCAGGAAAACGTCTTTTCAGCGTTCGTTTCGTTTTCAGCAATAAATGGGTTATGAGGGCCACAGAACTGAATAATGAGAAGACATTTGATCTGTGACGTCTTGCACTCTGATTGCGAAAAAAAAGTACCCCGATAGCGACGATGCCAAAAATCCTTATAACTGCTCTGTACACCCATTTCACGTCAAAATGTTTTGATTGCCTCAGCTTGCTAAGCGTAACAGACAGTGACTAGGTGAGAGTAAATGTGCGACGAGTTGAAGCAAGTGTGAGTGATCGCTAGAGGAGAAAAGCAGATAGCGAATTTGTCATAGTTATCCCAGCACCAAACACCCAATAATCGTGAAAATAAATTTCCCACAAATATGCAATTACTGACACAAAGAATGTAAGCCACTCACTGATGAACAAAATCCAGTGTGCTTGAAGAAATCCAGACACACAGTGTCTGCAACAACATTTGCGTGGGTAAGCATAACACCTTTGGGTGTACCCGTTGTTCCAGAAGTGTAGCAGATTGTGGCTAGATCTTCAGGCTAAAGTTGCCAGATGGATAAACTAGAACAAGTGGGCAAAATATGGCTCACACCTTAGGCGGCACATGCTGAGGTCTATTCTTGGCATCATGACCCAACTTTTCCAACTCCTGCATGGTCATTACTCGGACATCAAACTTCTCTGCGGCGGCTCGCAGTTCTTTTGTGATTGGCTCCATAACAACTAAGTATTTCAAATGGGGACATGATGGCTTCCGCTCGATAAGGCCTAAAAAGAGATGACCCGCGCAAATGGAGCAATATTTCAAAAGAGACCTACCCATTGCTTTAGATACAACATCACAGACTACGATCGGAATTTCTGCTTGGTTGAGGATATAAACGCAAGCCTCGCATCCTAATGTCTCGTATACTGGCACGATAACATTGGAGAAGTTGTAAGAAGCTAATTCCGTTATGACCCACTGAAAATTTTGCGGATGATCATTATTCTCAGTTTTGTGCATAAGAGCTTAAGTACCACGCCTACTTCTACAGCTCTATTGAGCATTTTACGCATCTACCAAACATTTTTCTCTGCAAACCATTATGCCGATAGCTTCGTTGCTCAGTCTTTGATCACGAAGATATAAGATTACAAGAGATTAATCATGATTAATCAATCATAAGATTACAACGATTTCCCAGAACGATCATCAAACTCAAAGCGCGATTCAGATAAGACACAACTGATAACGTTATCAAATTTTCCAGGCGTACTACCGAACTTGGAGGCTTCACCTATCAACTACGCAAAGCTCGATTATGCTGGAGTGTCTGCAGTCTCTACGCTTGACCTTCATCAGCAGGCTGATACGGCATGTTGGTCGGCAAAGAAGAATCACATTGTAATGATGCTTACTTCTACTCCGACTGTGCTATTAACAACAAGCACAGACTTCGCTACTTTAAAACTATCAGTAAGCATGTAAACGCGTACTTGAACACATCAAGCAGAAGGTAGTAAGTTCAATTCTACTTCAGATTTTATGAAGTTGTTTTACACGCTAACCAGTAAAAGCTGTCAATATTTGCTGATTAGAGTGTTAAATTAACAAGCAACTTCCTCCCTTAGAAACATCCCCTTGCAATAGTGCTATTAATTCGTGCTCAAGACATAATCACTACAGGGGTCAGCACCTCATTAAAACCACTAAAAGAAGCTACTTGCTCAAAATCAACCGCTTCGAAGATCAATGAATATGTAGCCCATGAACAACAAATTCAAGGAACATACACAAAAATTGCAAAAGATGAAAATATTTCAAATTGATATAGAGAAATAGAAAGAAACTTAGTGTACTTCTGGCCGATTTTTGCTGTAGATCCCAATGTGCGTGTCATTGCCAACAGGAATACCTAATTCTCGGAATGCGACAGAGACATCTTCGGCTCGTCCAAGCACCTGAAGAGGATAAATTATTTGATAGAATGCAAGTGCTGTGTCCCCCTGCGGTCACTTTTTTCACCTAGACTTGGTGAGAGGAATGTAGTAGTTTTATCAAAACAAGTCCTTTTATTACTAGGTCTAAGAGTAAACAGAAGTCGACGGGATGATATGATAAACTACCGAACAAAGTTCAGCAACCCACGTGAATGTTATGGCTGAATGACTGATCACTACTCATTAACTATGGCGAGACGTATCTCGATTAAAGAGCGAGGTTATTAGAGCAGACTAGAAATGTACTATCACCAACTTTCAGGCGCCATTATTTTACTTCAAGCGTTGAGGTGTGGTCGTCAGAACGTTCAAGTGATTGAATTATACGTTGATTTCGTGGCAAAGCACAATGACTTCAAATGATAGAAAAATCAAAAGCTGCATTCAATCGCCGACGGATTGTTCGACACTAGGAGTTTAGAAAGGCTACCACAGCAATTAGAAAGTTGTTGGACACGACTGTATAAGCCTTTTCATTTACAAAGTTTCTGCTGTTGCCGCTATGTCAAAATTCCACTCCAAGCTAAAAACTGACATGAGCGTAAAGTTCATTGCCTTTCGATCATCTCGACTATAATTGACAGGGTTTAGGCAAGGAACTAAAAATTTGGATTATGACGCATCAATAAAAACCAAAAGAAGATACTTAAAGATTGTAACTGTTCCTATCTTTTGAATCCGCAATGTCAACACGTCCGACTGAACAATTACATCACAAAAAATAAGGAAAAATTTCTTCGACTATACTATCTTGTTTTTGGCGCTCAGGGTGGCTTGCTCAATGAAATAACACACAGTTTCTCGCCATGATGACAATAGCATGCAACGATGAAAATGAGATATCACCGACTCCACGATTCGAGTAGAGGCGGGGTTTTGCCAACTCAAAGCGTGGCGGTTTTTGGCGGCGAGAGAATACGAAAAACAATGCTATGACATGGAGACTTAACAAGTTTATCCTTAAAATCAGGGAAAGTCCGCAACCCGCTTCTACACGAATCGTGGAGGCGATCATATGTACTCGAAAAAAAGGAATTCCAACAAAAAATATTTTAACTGCAATCCTACCTCATTGTAATGGAGCCAAACGTATGGCTCCGAACCGTCAGCTTGTTTCACTCGATGACCAAGCATTGGACCATTGTTTGACACACGAGCTCCTCTTCGGACGCCTTGATAAAGAGTAAGTGCATCTTCGTAGACGTAGGTCTGCAGTTTGCCATCCTTGAGGTATGCGGTAATACGAGATCCGTCCTGAAAAAATGCATAAAAATGCATATCTTTCTCAGGAAAACATAGCGATTAACGCAGCGGCAATTCCAAGTAGCCCCATTATAAAAAACGACGTAGAATTTTCACGTCCGACAAGACATAAAACTGATTTTTGCAGCTCCAAAGTTACGAAATTTGCTAAGACGAAACCTCCACAGAGTTGCAAAAGCGAGCGGTAGACTGCCACATAACAAAAAAATCGTTTCCAATTAAACAGCGGTGGAAAAATCGTCTACAATTTAAGCACCCGACCTAAACCGAACGAAGCAAGTTTATTGTAACAAGCGAATATGATGCAAGTTGAAAGAAGTTCAGCGATCTGATTCTCGATAATGACCAGGACGCAAATGAGAAAACCAGAAAGTGCAAGAAAAAAATCAAAACTAATCCAAACCTTCTGCTTGACTGTTTGGTTGAGTGGATCCACTAATGGCGTTACTTTTCCGTTGGTACTATTTTTCGTGAAGTAGTATCCTAGACCCATCGTTACAGCACCAGCAGCAGCCAAAGATAAATACGATGGGAAAGATGATCCTGATGTACCAGCGATGAAGTGATCGAGGAGATCAACGAAACCCCTAAAATGAAGATACTGCAATCAACATAATCGAATAATTTGAAAGGAGAATGAGGAAAAATTGGGAGAAGTGGGGCTGACATTGGCTGAGAATTATGCACAAGGGTTGGTGAACAGTCGTCTCTGATTTTCTGACATATATAGCGATTTATAAGCTCCAAGAGCGAATATTGAACAAGACAACCACGCTGATAGCAGGGCAAAAAGATAGGCAGAGCTTGTGCAAAAACGACACACACTTTGTCATCTGTAGCTATATCAGACTATTAGTCAGTACAAATAAAGCCTCTGAGCTCTTTCATCTGACGTTTACTTTCTGGATTATGCACTAAATCACAAAGACAAAGCGGCATCCTTATTCTAGTGCAGACCGTAGACAACGCTCATCACAACCGACACGCACGGACGGCACAGTCACACCTCACACGAAATTTCAAGTTCACCTATCCGAGGGTAAGAATAATTTGTAATTAAATTGAGATATTTGCTTATGTTCCACCAATGCATCCAAGGCACAGAAGGGTCGAGGACGATTCACGACTCGAACGACACTTGTAGTTGGAGATGCCGATTTATACCTACATCTAAAACCCGCGTCATGCTTGATCCACTTGATTTGCTTGGACCAATTCGCTCTCGATCACATGAGTGAACTGACCGATCGCGAAGTGGATGTCCCTTGATCCATTTCATTTCGCTATTGGCCAATTCTCTGATTTGACTTGTAGCGAAGTGGATGAAGTGGATCAAGCGGAACAAGTGGATCAAGTATGGCGTGTGCCTAAAATTTGCTTTCTTGGTGCAATTACACATCAAATGGCATTCTTTCGATTCAATACATTAACAGTGACTATTGTAGGTTCTTGATAGCAACTTAGTTTGATCTATATTCAGGACTAACATATTTCACTCAGTATGATCAAAATGAAGTGCAAGTGCACTACTGTGTGTAGGAAAGATAAACGAATGGGCACACAATGACAATAGTGTAAAACCAATGGCCTCCATGTGTAGGCAGAAGTGAGTGAAAGCCGAAAACATCACGGAGTAAATCTGTGGACCGGTTCCACTTCCACAAGCTGCTGATCTTAGCGGATATGAGGTGCAAGGAGGACAACACAGAGGCAATCGTCATGATCAGCAGAGATATATCTCGGATAAAAACGCGTCTCCTACCTGCCCTGGGAGTGCATCCATACCGCCGTGTCCTTCATCATCATGTGTGCGAATGTAATCGTCTATATATGGGCACGAATGAGAGGCAAGTAAAGACTGAGGTGAACAATGCCCACTTTTCTAAATAAATGTGGGAGTTTGACAGAATTAGCTATAAACGCCAGTGTAACATACGAAATTCAAAAAATTAATCGGCTAACCGACTACCGATTCAATTCTTACAAAAAGGCCCATTGCATTAGAAGCAACTGTATCCTAATGTGTGCTTTATGCAATTTGTCAACTTGTCAATTTGTCAAAAACAGGTTGTAAGAAGAAACTCATATGCGATTCGATTATGACAGATAGCATGATTTGAAAATTCAAAGCGAACGAAAAGTCTTGTAAGCAAACTGGATGTTCTGATTTCTAGATAAAAAAACGAATTCCAGACCACAGTCAAACATCAGGCATGCTTTACTTCTCAGTATCAGATCCCGATAACAGATGCAAAAGAAGTAAAAAGTCGTCACCCAAAGCACATATTCACGTTGTAAATTCAATGGTTTTTAATGAGAACTATGGATTGAGCCATGTTCGCTACATGCAAAATGAAAAGCAGGTGATATCGATAGTCAAGGTGTCAGCACAGAGCTACAGACGGCAATAAAAAATGCCGGCAAATAGCGCGCGCTGTATTCCTATGCAGACGCTGAACTGACTACGAGTCTCTTTTTGTTGTTTACTGCCTCTACGCTTTGATTTAGTCAAATTTATTTCACTCTCTAATAAAAACCCGGATCAGGTTCAGAAATCGCGGAGTAAGTTGCCTTTACTTTTGCAGAACCGGCTGCTGTGGAAGAAAAACAAAGGATTTGCCTATGAATCTCTTCAACGCCATTGTGCGTATTCGTTGCGAACAACGACGATGAAACTTTTGCAGGACTATTACTATAGTCCAATCTCTGTCATGAAGACTCCGGAACGCTATGCATACAGTGTCTAACAAGTTCAACTTGATCTTTCTGTCATTCCAAGTACTAAAACAACTAGAATGAGGTGAGAAACAAGGTCAACTTTGTTTAACGCGTTCGCGCGTTGCGTTCTCAAGTCTCCAAGTCAGCATATAGACCAGAAATATTTCGAAGCAAGTTCCCGCTATCAGGGAAGCTGACCACAGTTCTGCTTTTCCAGCCAAAAGTTGTCGAAATCACCTATCACTGCAAAGCCAATCCTGCAGCGAAATGCAATAAATTGAAAAGAAAAAACAGTATGCATTCGTCCAGCACTATGATTCATCATCACTCAAAAAAGCCTGCGACCGCCAGCGAGACAGCGCCGTGCTGACACTCATGTGAAAAGAAAAGCTATTTCAATGAGCATATCGTTTGATTTTAGTTAACGGGCTATTCAAATGCAAGCACATCAAAGATAAAAAGACGGCGTTGTGGGAGGCCTAAAACCGAGATAGCAAAAAGCGGGGAACGGAGCGATCAGACCACCATCTCGTGCTCGCCTAATCATCAAAAACTGCCGCATTGCATATCTCATGGTGAGACGACGCAAGCCAGACGGGGCCAAAGTCCACCCACAACGGCCACAACCACGCCTTAGTTGGTCTTTGATAAACTTTACTTAGAGCAAATAGGAACAATAAGAGTCGAATAAATCGGAAAACAAGGTCTGTCCAGCGCGAAGCGAAAAATTTATCAAAAGGAATAGGTTCTCAAAGCAACAACTTGGTTATTTTTTCGTTTGATTTGCACAACGTAATCGATAATGATTGGATACTAAGCTGAATAAGGTTCGATAGCCTCTCCGTGCACTTGTGTGATACAGCGCAGGAAACGCGAAAAATGTTCGCCAGCCACATTACGGTTGATATAATGCCTACATTCCTTGCATGATGTGGAAATTCGCTACTCATTATTCACGGTATGATCGATCTAAATTCTTGGAGGAAATTTCCAATGAAAAGACTATTCCTAAAGTGTGGCGTAGGCTAACATTAAGAAAAAGGCTGAAACATGAGAGGACCTCCTATCCTGGAAAGATATTTTGGGCTCATGCTAATGTAAGAAAACTGATTTCCAGCTGACAATGCTCATTGCCGAATGAGGCAGGAAAGGGAAGCGAAGCGGTAAGGAGTAGCGTTCTTGTTTTTGGCAGTCACCTAATGTTACGTCATTACTTCAACATATATGATGTGTCATGTTATGGATCCTCCCTGTATAAACCCAAAATCGGATTGACCAAGTCATATTTACCAAGAATATGAAAAATTGCGATTGCGAGATTTGTACCACCCGTGTGTCGTGCGTCACCCAGAATTGACCCATATAAACCGTCAACGTAACTGCCTTTCGAACGTTCTAACAAGTTAAGTCTGGCAAAATTAAGGTGCATTCGAAGCTGATATGTCAAAATGATCGAAAGACAGCCACGTTAATGATTCATACGAGAAAAATTTTGGGTACCTCCCTGTGAGCGTGTCGGAGATGCCCCTGCCTTGAATAAAAAAAATAGAAAGATTATTTGCCAAAGTTTTTTTTTCGCATACGCAAAGACCCAGTGAGCTGGGTGCCGCGGCGAGCTTATGTCATGTAGAGGATTGTATTTTTAGAGCGCAGCAATGCCCTAAGACGATAACAAGACATGACACTGATAATGATGTCCAAACAACTTAAATTCTGCTCGTTTCCACGATCACTTCCTGTACAGTAAGGCTCGACCAAAAATTCTGCCTCCAGTCGAAGTAGTGAGATGAAAAGGGTTTTTTTTCCATAGGAAATATCACGTCTACGCACAACATTTGCGAAAAATCATTTTCATGGCCCTGAAAATATACCGTGGATGCGAATTTACATTAGCTTGTGCTATGGTACTATAGCCTTTTTGTGCATCTACAAAAGCGCAGATTCCGTTAGTTATCTCAGTCTGACTCAGAGCTGTGATGTGCAGATTTGCAGGAGCTGGGTAGAATTTCGTAAGTTAGTTATCGATACTCTCTACCAATATTTCACTGACAGCAATGATACAGGGTAAAGAAATTTTAATCCTGATTAAGAAGTGACTAATGCTACATTCTGATTAGCTCAATATTTGCTTTTCAATAGATTGACAGCGCGCTGTGATTCGAAATTTGCGCACACTATGCGAAATGATCTCGGAATGAGTATGATTGAACTAGAGAACAGAGTAGAATAAGAAGGAAGAATAGAACTTCATATACATTGAACATCAGTAGGCCATTAGGCACTTCGCTTCGAAATTAGTAGGACAGCGAGTTAATGAGACAGTTTTATATGACATCTGAGGTAGCAAATGTCTTAAAAATCACATACACATTCGTACCACATGGCATTCCACTATCACGTCGGACAAAGTCCACAGAACTATGCAGTAAAATTCAACACAAGTACTAATCGTGTCAAGAGTACGAAGTTCATCAGACCGCAGCGCTCATTAAGAAAAACTCCAGCAGACAGCTATAAACATCGAAAGGAATTCCAAAAATGCTTATTTACTAACCGCTTATCATACGGGTTTGGCACTTTAAAGCAAGCATGATACGGTTCTTTATTGGCACAGGAGGGTGTGAACAACCCGCGCATCTTTCGTCTCATTTCTATCCATTTGCAAAAAAAAATTCAACGCATCTGCTTGTTATATTCCTTCATATACACATAGGATATTTGTAAGATTTTCGCACCAAAGAATGAGAAGTTTCAAAAAAACCACCAACAAAATGGTTCGCAGTTCACTTAGAACTGAGTACACTTGAAGGTAGCGTCCAGGCAAATCTGGACCTGTGGCGATCTCACTTGGAGGGTAACCTTGGAGCCCTAACTAAAACACTGCCCAAGCGGCAGCTCACGTTAGCTCACAGATGAAATATTTGCCTCCAAACTGGACCCCGGGATCGTATTCGCATGGATTCATGGGGCGACACATCAGTCTTGCGCGAGGACCCACGCATGTCGCGCCATGAACCCATGCAAATACGATCCTGGGGTCCAGCTTGGAGGCGAATATCACAACTGTGAGCCGCTTCGGCATTGTCTTAGTTAGGGCCTCAAAATTACTTTCCACATCAGAACCCGTATGTCCAGATTTGCCTGGACGCTGCCTTTAACACCGAGTCCTGCGCAAAACTTGTGGGTATCTACATGAAACATTTATACATTTCAGCTTGTATTCACTGACCCTGAATGCAAACAAAGGCGCAATAAGTCGTCGAATAAAGCTCGCAGCGTGCGCTTGCCCATTCGGAGTGTGGTGGAAAAGGCGACTTTCCAGGTTTTGTGACTCTCGAATTCTACCCGGTGCTGAAGAGGTACGGCAGCAAATTAAGGAGGGGGGGGGGGAGAGGAGGGGGTACGGGCAGATACACGACTCAATGTTGTAGGTAAAGTTGCGTGACACTTGGCGAGAAATTCTACATTGCTTGCCGGGGATCGGCAAGGTGGCTTGTAAGCAAGCTGGATGTCATTTTTGGGACAAAAAGCAAAGGGGGTATCGTTTTTGAGGTCGAAAAGACAAAAACTGTGAGGTTCTTCTCAGTCGACGTTTCGGTTTTTGAGGGTTCTTTCACGTTTAGGGTTTAGTGTAAAAGGAGACTTTGTAAAAATTCGCGAGAGTCAAGGGGGACTTCGTTTTTCTTTTGCATTTTCCAGAAGCCACCTCGTTCCGAGCCGTGTTGCTTGCATTCCGCGCGTATTACGGCCCTCCTCGTGCCCCTTGTCTGTTCGAGTCGGTTTACGCAGCTTAGAACCTTATCTAACGTACAATGCCGAGCAGTAGCTTTGTCTCCAATTTGCAATCTCATTCTAAATCGGTTTGATGCGTTTCTTCCTCTAAAAAACTCAGTCATTCTGCAAAATTATCACTTTAGTACTTGTTCTCAAACGATTTATACATTTCCATGAAACCATAATACTTTTCTTTTTGGACAACGACAGAACGTAGTCTCAAACAATGATCAAGATCGCGTGTTGAAAATACACTTTTTATCCACCTCTGACAGCTTTCGATAACGATACGAAGTTGAAAACAATTTACAGAAAGTGCACAACAGATAAGAACTGTGTCCCAAAAACTTCCGCTTTTAGAGTTATGAAAAAAAATGACATAATATGTCAGT